CTGCCAGGCGGCTTATTTTTTTTCGACACCTCCAACAAATATAGTTATATTTTAGCCAATATATACAGAAACTAAACAAGTTATATACTAAACGCTTCCTCTTGAATCACTATCTATTAAAAAATAGCATCAAAATCCGTTGCGTAGTTTTAAAGATCTAACCATACATAGGGACAGACAGACAGCGGGGAGCGATGTTTTATACTATATAGTGATTTTTCAATAAATTAAGTTGACCAATAAATAGCTCTCAAGGCATTTTCATAACAAAGATCGTTAAAGATTAAGGAACAAAGCCTTAAATTCGTTGACACAAAAATTAATGACCAAAGTCCTGAGACCGTCCATCGAAAATGTATATTATATATAGGTGAAGCTCTTGAAAGGGTCGTTTTTGTTTGGCTCATGTAAGAGGATAATATATTTTCCTTTCAAAAGGTATTACAGCTTATACTTAAAGAAAATCTTTCTAATATTATAATTGGCCTTTTATATTATAATTTTGGTAAGGGCTGATGGCTGTCCTAGAAATTATGATTATAATATCTGGGGAAAAATGATGAGAACTTAAGAACTGAAAGTTTGTTTTTGGCATTTCTACAAAAAATAATGTGGAATAAGATTGTTATTTTAATATATCTATTAAAGCAATATGTTCTCCTGACCGATTCCGGCCACGGCGGCCAATCTCATTGAGACTAGCCAACTGCGCAGGAGATATTATAGTGCACAAGTGTACGCGCAGACACAACGTGCACTCTCTACTCCTGTCACTCTCATACTCCGGTGGGACGACCACTCGACACGACCAGTGAGAGTTAAGGCGCAGGACCGACGGTTTTACGTGCTCTCCGAGGCACGGGGGTTAAACACCGACAATTTCCCAACTCCGGGCTGTTACTGAGGCTTACTATACAGAAAGACTCAATAACTAAACTTGGCCCGACCCGGGACTTGAACCCAGGACCTCCGGGTGTGCAGCCGTACATGCTAGCCACTACACCACCGAGGCAAAAAATAATTAAAGCAATAAAAGTTAGTTTGACGGTAATTAATATGAATGAAATAGGTCTCTAAATTTTATCAAGTCGCACTATATAATATTTTATTTTATATTACGACCTAGAGTACATTGGAGCTAATGGCAGTTTACTTACACTAGATGTCTTTATTGGTTTGGAAATACGAGAATCAGTCGCAGTATACACACAGAATCGTTATGAATCAGACACTGAGCACTAACTTCACTCCACTTTCCTCCACTTTTTCACTTCTTTCGACTAAACATTCTACACAAGTCCGTCCTTTCTATATGCATTAACGAAGAACATTTTAGTAAATAACCATAAATATTTTTCTGTTTTTTAAATATCGCCAGTCAACACATAAATGCTTGTAATCAAATAAAAAAGGTATTAAAGTATTAATTATACTTATGAATAAAATTGCAATATCTACCTGTGATTTCTCAATAGCTATTATATTGAGGTTATTTTGAAGTTATTTAAACGACGCCAACCCAAAAAACCGGTAAGAATTAGTATGTTTGTACTCGCTCATTTTCAAAATGACTGAATCGATTTTAATGGAGCTTTTCTAGTACTTAAAATACCAAGAAATAAGAATGTAGACTGTTGTTTTTAACCCTAAAAACTTATCTGCAACAAAACGGAAGTTCTAGGATTTTTTAGAATAGATTATAGTGAGGGCTGAAATAAAATAATCGGCAAAACGGTTCGCTAGTAGTACTTGGCTATTGTAAGAGAATCTGGTTCGCATAGATAACTGTTATACGATAAAAACTTAAACTTAGCATGTTCCTATCCAATAAGCCTTTTAACATAAAATCGACATCCATAAAAGTTGATCACCGCTCAGGGCTATTTAATGACGTAATATGATCTTGTTAAGAGATTAGACTAGACTCCTCTGGCTTGCCTCATTGTGTTTATGGGCTCCCATTACAGATTACTGCAAATACTTTTATCTACCACATATCTTTCGATTTCTTACATTACTAGTACCTGATTAGAATTTCTTATATTTTCAAACTGTGGTGAATGTTTGTTTTGGACATATCTAAAAACATTTATCCTGGAAAAGATCTCTTTATCTTATTTTAATCTAAAACAATCGTATCTAAAAAATATTCTAACAGTTCTAAATGTAACTGTATTCTTAACTTTGCCATTGTTCGCCCCTCTATCGTGGTGTATAATTATTTTTTCTTTGTCAGCCCTTATTTTCCCTTCCCCGAGTTAGCGAGGAAATTATTCAAATGCAAAGTAAAAAAATATTTTTCATGTAAATCCAGATTTGTTATAATGGTCGGGTGTTGCAGACTAAACTGATTTAGCGTTTCCGATTTGTAATTATTTTGTTCGGCGCAAATTGCTTTATTATTGTATATGTGAATGCGAAAGTTTTTGAAATATTTCTTTTGTACTTTTATAATTGTATAAGACGTACGAATTTAGTAAATCGCTTGACTAACCCCAGGTTAATGTGACACAGAAAATATACTTTATTTATTTATAGTCCAAGTGTTTTTGAGATATTAATTTAATTTGAAAAGAGCCAGTGTAATGATTTCATAGGAAAATGTACTTTTGCTGAGAAAAGCCAGCAAGTAACTCAACAGTTGCTCTTTAAATATAGTGTGTCAGTGTTTATAATAAAATATAATATGTAGCTGTCCTACAAAAGTGTGAGAGAATTTTCCCATATATTTCGATGTACCATGCGGGTTGCTCCTGGTTTCTTCTCTGAGAGTAAAGTGGACTGAGAGAGCAACCCTTTGGTTTTGTGAGCAGACCTGCCGTCGGGGCGTCGTGGTTAAGTGCATAAGCGATTCTGCTACGGTATTCCCATTAAAACAGAGGTTCCGCTGGGTATTAGTGGGTAGTACTGGCTTCTCTAGCACATAACCACCTGTATGTTTGCAGGTGGTGTGCATAAATGCTTTTACCAACATAAAAAAAGTAATACATAGGCTAATTAGGACGTACATGTGGATAAGTCGCTCGTATGTTATTATCGAGGATCAACTTATCATGTCCTTTTGTTTGTTTCCCTAAATTTTTGTTGGTTTTTCACGCTAAAAAGATTATATTGATGTCATTTTCTTCATAATTATATGATTATAAAATTTAAATTCTCTTTGCAATGATATCCCGTTTAAAATACAGCCTTTAAGATTATATGTAGCTAAGTTTATAATAATTTTGTGTTAATTACCACCTACATACAAAAATTGATAACAATATTTTTCGGATCATAATCAAATGTGGTATGTTTTAGAGGTTCCAAAGATAAACGTCTTCTTAGGTTGGAGACATATTTAATAATCAGAATATAATAAGTAAATTTATAATAAAGCTTAGCTTAATGGGTGGTCGACCATATATGGATGATACATGAGAGATTGATGATACATTACTAAAGTATGGCTTACAATACTTAATGCTATATATCACTATACTAATGCTATACTATATTATGCTATATTATACTATACTTAATGTATAAACATTTTACACTTCAATAAACTAGAAAAGGACCAATAAATGAAATTACAGTAAGCTGATAGTTATAAAAAATATGTTATAAAACCTTAAATACTTATAAAACGTATAAACATTATAATTAATCTTGTACCTATCGTTATTAATATGCACGCTGTGTTTATCAGTAATGGGCTGTGCAATTTATGTTTGTATCGAAATATCAATTAATGGCTCTACATAGATAATTATAATCTCTATTGATAAACCAAATGGAGGAAGTAGACAGTGTCCAACTATCATGGCTCGGAGGATATTGACGACACGTTTGGCTCAGTTTGTAGTAACCCTACTTGCTGTGCCAGCGGTCGCGGGTTCAAGTCCCGCTGGGGGCATTCATTTGTGTGATGAGCGCGAATGTTTGTACTCTAGTCATGGGTGTTTATATTTATAATATGTATGTATTTAAAGTTATATATGTGTAGTGTATCAACTATCTGGTATCCATAACACAAGCCTCGTAGCTTACCATGGAACTAGATGGCGCTGTGTGTTAATGTCCCAACATATATTTATATTTATTTATATTTATATGTCAAAACGTCAATCTTATGCAAGAATGATGATCATTCTTAGTTTGTGTTCATTTCCAGTAAATTATTAAAATTGAAAGCGCACTTGTGATTTTTAATGAGATTGGCCGCCATGGCTAATATTTTGTCTGGGTGTTCCTACTGTGTAACGATTACACATTACCTTTAATTTATATGAGAGCACTTAGAATGGAGTGGTAAAGCTGTTTTGATCTGTGTCCTTTGATCTTGTTTTATTTAAAACTTAATATTTATTTCAAACTACTTATCTATACTAATATTATAAAGAGGAAAGATTTTTTCGTTAGTTTGTACCGAATAAGCTCCGAAACTACTAGGCCCATTTAGATGAGACCCCAGAAAGGACATAGGATAGTTTTTGTCCTGAAAATCTCCCTTAAGGGGATGTAAATAGGGAAGAAAATTTGTATGGGGAATCAAATTAGGAACGAAACCGAGCTAAGCGGGGGTGATTCGCTAGTATAAAATAAAACGTTTTATTAAATTAGATTTTGCTGAATCTAAAATAATAGAATCTAAATAATCAAGTTTGGCGATAATTTTATGTTAAACTTTTACCTATGATAATATATAATACTAGCGGACCCGACAGACATTGTCCTATCTACACGTCTTTAATTTGAAAATTTCAAACTTTTTTTAATAATTTTTTTGATGAAAATTATTATTCAAATTGTGAATCTAAACCATTCCCAGATCCCCTTGAACACACACAAAAAATTTCATCAAAATCGGTCCAGTCGTTTGAGAGAAGTTCAGTGACATACACACTCACAGAAGAATTATATATATAAAGATGGGAGAGACATATCATACGTATGCAGGGGACGAAAGAAGCCAGTTGACGATAAGATACTGAATATATTGTTCCATTTGTTCCCAGTTGTATGGCAGGACTGGCAAGTACATGTAACATCGACCCCATCAGAGGTGGGCAGCCCGGCGCTCCTCACGTGTGCAGTCCCCGCCGCGGTGCGAGAGCACGCTTCCGTTGCGGCCTGGTATAGGGATGAAGCTGTGATATCCGCTAGCGATCACTTTTGTAAGTATTTTTTATATTTTCTTTTGTGAAATGTGGTTATTAATTAAAAAATAAGGCTAAAATATTTTTTAATTTATAATGAAATTATTCATAGGGGTAGAGGAATTACTTAAGTGCGGAAAAACGACGAAACCGTGAAGAAAAAGAAAAAGAAGGAGTACTGAGTAGTGGAATGCTGTGTGTGAATAAAAGCTTGAGTTTCATTTCAAAATTTAAAAAAAAAGTCAAATATGCTTTTTTTTAAACATGAAATTTATATATATATATATATATATATATATATATATACTCGTAGCTTTTCAAATATCCTGTTTTAATGTAAACTTTTAAAAAAAATGGCGAAAATTTGGCAGTTTTTTTAACAATTCTGTAAATTTTTCCTCTTGATTCAAATAAATGTTTCATGAGACTCCTTAATTCAATATTAGTCATAGACTAAAGTTAACTTCTTCCTTGTTTTCTTTGTGTTTCCGCCTTGGAATATATTATTTAAAGTTATTTTCTAGAAAATGGAAATAAAATATGTAAAATTAGTTTTCACTGTCCAATAAATTAAAAGAAAAAAAAAGATTTATTATTACTTCTTTTTTTGTCAATATATAAATAAAGTTACGTAAATAAATAATTGTCCACATTAAATAAAAAAATTAATAAATAGACAAATAAACAATAAATTATCATAAGTAATTTGTTAAATTTTTGTTGTAACGTGATCCTTAGATCTGGCTGACCTGATTTTAAACAAATAATAATGACATACACATTGAAAGAAATATCACTACATAGTATAAAATAAAGTCGCGTTTTCTGTCCCTATATCCCTATGTATGCTTAAATCTTTAAAACTACGCAACGGATTTTGATGCGGTTTATTTTAATAGATAGAGTGATTCAGGAGGAAGGTTTTAGTATATAATTTGTTATGTTTTTGTATACATTGGCTAAAATATAACGATATTTGTTGGAGGTGTCGGAAAAATTAAGACGTCTGGTAGGTTTCAACGAAAACGCTGCCTAAACCCTTTGAGATATAACAAAATAATGTATGGTGGAATTGTGTATCTTATATAGGTCTACAGAAAAGTCCGCGATGGCATATGTCTATCTCTTAAGTATAACATACTTAATCCATTTTAATTTAAAACGTACCTAGGGACGAACCCGAGCGAAGCGAGGGTGAGTCGCTAGTGAATATAAAAAGAAATATCCTTAATAACTGAATGAAAAAAAATTATTTTTAGTATTGTAAATATGTAAGGTACTTTGGTGACATTTTTGTATTTTTTTAAATGTTAAAAAGTATGTAAAATGTTTTCAGCTGGCCCAACCTTACTAGTGGACGAGGGTTGGAAGTTGATCGTGCGGGCAGTTCGCGTAGACGACTCACGAGCGCAATACTCTTGCTCCGTCCTGGACTCGCTAACTGGAGAGCGTCGGAAAAGCTCCCCTATTAGCATCGATGTAGCACGTAAGTAAATACTTCCATCTATACATGTTATTTATTTGAAAGTAAATCTGTCTATCAGTCTGTTCTTTTCACGCTTTAACTGCTAAGTGGATTTCAATGAAATTTGGCTAGGATATAGGTTATATCATGGAAAAAGACCACCTTCGTCCAGCTTACCAAGCAAATGAAACTGTGGACGAAAGCTCGTTAACATTATATAAAAAGAGAATTAACTGTCTGATTTATTAAGAATTAATTTATTTACTTATGACTCATTTGTATACTATTTTAAATATTATTTGTATACTATTTGAAAATATTCATGTTTAGCTTCATGCTTAGTTCTATGACACTCTGTCTATATGTATTATTACTTAGTACACGGTACAGGCATAGGCTACTTTTAGATACTTAGTAATGCATCAGAGCCATGTAAGGGTAAGTTCGTTTATAAATGTATTCAGCCCTTTTTAACGTCCCACTGCTGGGTACGGGCTTCCCTTCAATACAAGGGGAATCAGGTCATAGTCCACCACGCTGGTCAAGTGCGGTTTGGCGGATTCACGATGTTTGCGTTGACCGAAAGGCAAATGGTAATAATGTTGGAAATGATTCGCACATAAAAATATCAGAGGTGCGAGACCCGGGACTTGAACACGCTTCACTCGGTTTCCCAAGTGAGCATGTTACCACTGGGCTACATCTGTCTTAGTTTATAAATAATGTTACTTAAATCTGCCTATGTTACCACCAGCTATGAGTGCCTCATCTGCCCCCCGCACGGTGTTGCCCGGCACGTGGGAGGCGAGTGCGCGGCGCGGTGGAGACGCCGTGCTACCATGTCTAGTACACGCTAACCCTCTGCCTACTATCACGTAAGTAGCTTGATTTATTTTATTTATTATTCCCAATTGTTGTATTCTGCCCTTTTTAACGTGCCTTTGCTGGACACGGGCCTTCCATTATACTACGAGGGGATACAGGCCACAGTCTATTACGCTAGCCAAGTGCGGGTTGGCGGACTTCACATGTTGTTTTTTCAGATATGCAAATTTCCTCATGATGTTTTCCTTCACCGCAAGGCAAATGGTAATCATGTTGGAAATGATTCGCACATAAAAATATCAGAGATGCGAGACTCGAGCTTTGAACCCGCTTCGCTCGGTTTCCCAAGTAATCGTGTTACCACTGAGCTAGCACTGTCTATTATTCCTAATTGTTAATCACCGTTAAATTTTAGTTAAGCTGTAAATATTTTGCAGTATTTATTACTGTAATAAAAAAGGTATATCATATTATAATCTTTGGTATATGAAATTTCAGTAAATCTTATTTAAAACCAGTAAACCTTAATAAGTGAAAAATTCAAAATCACGGACACTTTATATTTATTTGGCTGTGAACATTTGATACGCAAAGCTGTATTACTTTTTGTGTTACAGAAGAAAGTTCAAAGGGCCCTAGGGCAATATTGCTACCCTTAATGCATCGGTATAACCGTTATATACTGCTCTAACAGCCTGAAGGCACTATTAACCTCAACTTGTTTATGAACTAATGTTGCTGGGATTTGGGAATATTGACTAAAATAAACTGATATGTTCTATTTATACTAGAGACTCCCCCTAGCTTTGCTCGGGTGCATCCTTAGTACGCGAATTTTATTCACAATTTTATGGTTTTTTTGCGAGGAACCCTGATTCTTTTTTGAAATAAAAGTAGCCAAAGATACTCCACACAATATTAGCTATCTGCCAGTGATAGTCTCGTCAAAATCGGTCCAGCAGTTTCGGAGATTAGCCGGAACAAACAGACAAATATTAAAATATTTTTTTTTCTTATAAGTAAGTATCGTATGTACTTTTATATGTATTTATTAAAAAGCTGATATTTTGACATTACAATCAGACACTTCAATTTTATTTATCTGTATAAATGTGTCAAATGTTCAATTTTTTTTTTAAACAATATTTATGGTCTAAGCACGCGTTTGTAATTTTATTAACCGACTTATAAACTGTGTATGCAACGCGATATCTTCATCGGTGAATCGATTTTAATTATATCTTTTAAATGTATCCTTATTCTTAAGGATAGTCTACACATAAATTTCCAAAAAAAAAACTATTATTTATGATATTATTTATATGCGAATACGTATAACAGGTAACTCAATTTATTACACTACAACTTTGCTATGTTTTAATACCTACTTTTTGTTATTGTAAGTGTTTCGCGCTAGTTAAATAGAAAAAAAATTAACACTATACACCAGCTTATGAGTTTCCCAGAACGAGTGCGGTATTTACAACAATATTTCACTCGCAACTCCCCACCGGATATTTCTTGCATAATATATCCATCGCTATATCCGTTACACGGATATTTCTCATCCGGCCGTCAACGATTTGAAAACAGGAACGGACAAATTGTGCTTCACCCCGATACAAAACCGGATGCTAAAATATAACTGCACGGGTATTTACAAGTTTAATAACTAGACGGTTGCCGTGGTTTTTCTCGTGTTTTAAAAATATATTTTTTAGATTTGAAATTCAATAATGAAACTTAAAGATGATGTTTGAGAAATAAGCAAGGTTAGTATATAATTACAAATAAGTTCTATTATTTTTTATCTTACTAACATTGTAAATGAGAAAGTTTAGATGTTTGGATGGATGTTTGTTACGTAATCATGCCAGAACGACTGAACGGATCTGGATGAAATTTGGCATTGTTAGATTATACTCTGGGATAGCATATAGGTTACTTATTATATCTGAATAATGTACAGTTCCCGAGGGATAGATTTATTTTTGTCTTTCTAGAGGCGAACCTGAGCGAAGCGAAGGTGAGTCGCTAGTAAATATATAATTTATTCTTTATAATAATTCAAATTCAAAATATTTTATTCAGCATTAAATTATTACAAGTTTTTACTGAACGTCATGAGTCTACTACCAGTTCGGAAAGAAGAAGCCTCAGACCTGAGAAGAACTGGCGAAAGAAACTCAGTGGGACTAATATTACTTCATTATCTTTTTTATAAAGTTACATTGTAAATTACAATATTTCTACAAATTTTATATAACATAATATACTGCATAATATTATCCAATTTTAACGTTTATTACTTCATCTGATTAAAAAAGGTTTACTTTTGAATTGAATTGACTTTTAATTTCTCAAACATCAAGATATTTTTTTAATATTCTTTGTATAACTTTACGACAGGTAATTTCCGCTGACTAATGGCACAATTTCCAATAATAAAAAATATCTAATATTTTTTAGATTAAAACATTTCAGGAAAATGTTGTTCAATTTAGTCTAAAATCCTTTAACTGCAGAAGGTAACCGGTCAAAGGTTTTAGATTCTATATTGTGTCATTACGGCGGGTACCTTTTACATTGGTTAAATTTTTAGCGTTGTGTTATTAATATAATACAAGGCTAAAAATTTCACAGATTTCTTAATACGAAAAACGACCCTTTTAAACGTCCCACTGCTGAGTGCGGGCCTCCTGTCTATACGAAGGTGATCAGACCGTAGTCTTCCACGCTGGCAAAGTGTGGGTTGGCGGACTTCATATGTCTTGGGAAAGCTGATTGGGTTCTCTACACGTGTATGTTACCTCACAATGTTTTTCTTTACCGTAATAAATAAATTATGTTGCAAATGGTTCCCACGTGAGAATATCAGAGGTGCAAGACCCAGTATTTAAACCCACTACACTTCAAATTAGTATTCATGTTTATATTTAAAAAAAAATTATTTAAAAAAAAATTAAGTCTCGATATGAATTTGAAACTATAAATATTTTATTGTTTACTTTTACAAGAATCTTTTTAGTTTCGTAATATCTTCTTTATTATCATTGTGCGATTATATTATTGTGATTTTGTCATTATAATAGTATACTAGTGACAAAAATATATACATTACTTGTCCTTCAGATGCACAAAGGCTAGCTCAAACGAAAATGCGACATAACATCCAGTTTTTGTTGTACAGACAGTAACCTCTAACTATCCAACGCTAATGGAAACAAAAAGGTTATTAATGAAAGGGTTTAGTTACTTCAGTCATAGTATATACGCAGACGATTATATTTACTAGAATTCGCCGAGTGGTCGAACTTCGACCATGATTTTCATTGATTTTTTTATTTATAAAACTAAAACTCTTCAATAGCTATGAAACTAAAACAAAAAGTAAACAGATCGGTTCACAAACAAAATATTTATTTTAATTAATTTAATATATTTCTTATGTATTTTTATTTTATATAAAAATATTAGCTTTCTGCACTATATCTCCATATAAACTTTAACTGTGTCAAATTTCATATTCCTCCGTCCGCGTAATTTTTTTAAAATGGGATACAAAGTTTTTGCTTCACGTATTAATACATAATTCTCAATTTGACCGCGGACTTTAATAATAAACAAAGAGTATATATGCGTGTGTGTGTCAAATACATGGTAGCGGGTGTAATGTTTTTTTTTTTTTATTGATTTAATGTATTTTTTATGCATAGTTAAAAAAATTTTTTTTGCATTCTGCTCTCCTTCTCTATATAAACTATAAGTGTGGGAAATTTCATACTCCTCCGTTCGCGCAATTTTCGTAATAAGGGTTACAAAGTTTTTGCTTCGCGTATTAATATATAGATTGCTAAGTTTAACTGCTTTGTTAATGTAGTAGATGGCGTGTGGTTAAAATTTACATGTAAATCTTGGGCTCAAATCTACATTGTACATCCATACGAATATTATAAATGTGAAAGTGTGTTTGTTTGTTTGTTTGTTTGTCTTTGTTTCACGTCGAAACGGAGTGACGGATTGGCGATCTAATTCCCACGGGAAAACACGTTGTAATACAATTCAAAAAAATATTTATGATCAGAATTACTTGAAACTTGGTATTAATGCTCTTCAATAAAATTAAATAAATACCTACTTGTTTTAGCATTTTTCGAAATTCATCCCATAAGAGGGTGAAATAGGGGATGAAAGTTTGTATGAAACTACCTTTTTAGAGTTTTTTTTGTAGTTTTAGCGCGAGCAAAGCCGCGGGTTCTGCTAGTTCTATATATGTTGTATTTGATTTTCAATTCATATATCTGACAAGACATTCTATATTGTAAAGATTCTATAATGTATTTGAATCGTTTGCTCGTTTGTCCCTTCCGTTTTTACCATCAAAATGTTCGTCTGTACCTCGATACTGACCACAACAAACCCCATATCTAGCTAACGCAAGTATGTAAAACTAGTTATCATTTAGTTAATTTTACTCTTAAAGTATTTTCTAATGGGATCAGGGTTTCGTTGAACATTTAGTAAGAAAAAATGTCACAGTCCCCTGTGCTGAACTAAGATTATCACCCCATCGCAAATTTATTAGCAAAAACTAAATCTATGTACCAAATTATACCACAATCCACACACCGTAATTGAGTCACAATAATCTAAACATATTTACAACGTTTTATATTTATACTATGTATGTATAAACAGGCAAAGCCACACCAATTCAGTACCTTTTCCTGCTCTGTTTGTTGACCGATTTTTTTTATTTAGTTATTGACAAGTTTATGGTTGAACACTAGTTAATATGATTCTGATAATTCATTTATTGTCAAAGAGAGGTAGAGGTATTGTCAAAGTGGTCCAGATAAATTTATACCTTATAGTACTACAGAAATTATAGGCATCTGGGTGCAAAGGAATACTTCAACTAAAAACTCCGTGCGATCGAGACGAGAAGTCTTCAGGTGAAAGCAAATTAGAACGAGGTAATGAGAGCAGGTTGCTGCCGCAATGAGTCGCCTGGCAATTACTTTAGGGGCAGAGTTACTACACAGGGAATA